CTACCAGGCACCAGGCTGTCCAACCTGTTCAGATTCCTGCCCTGGGAGTCCTTGAAAGCCAGTGCCCATCAGCATAGGTGAGATGGGCTGACAGGATGGTTATAGTGATCTCTGCATGGAATTCCCACTGGACCTCACAAACAGCTTGCCATTTGGCTCTGGCAATAACTTTTGTGATGATAGATTTTGTGAAGCCATAGATTCTTACATGAACAGGTGTGCATTTCAGGGGCACTTGGTAGAAATGGGCAATGGGTTCTTTGTTCTACACCATCTGGATGTCTTTGTAATCATTACCGTATTAAATGGCTTCCAGGGTCTTAGCTAGGCGGTGTAGGAAGTGGGTGGTTAGTGTATCTGTCATAGACACAGGGAAGGAATGGGTTAGATGTACTAATGTCCACTAAGACACCACTCAGCAGTCTGGGAGACATTTAACTAGGGGAATGTCTTTGAATTTCATTAATGAGACAAGTAAAAACACTATCTAGTGATGCGGAAGTCCTATGTATATGTCAATAAAGCACTGTTGGCCAATAGCGAAGCAAGATAGGTGGGACTAGGAGTCCAGGAGGACTCTGGGAAGGAGAAACACAGGGAGTCACGATGTAGCCCACCAGAGAAGTAAGATGTCCTGAACTTTTCTCCGGTAAGAGAAATACTTAGATGGGTTAAATACTTAAGTCAGAGATAGCCAGTAAGAAACAAGCAAACGGCCAACAGCTTCATAATTAATACAGCGCCCTGTGTGTTCATTTGGGGACTACAACATGGCAGAGCCCAGGCAATGGTAGGGATAAACCAAAGCGGCTGGCAAGGAAAAGGCTTCTCTCAACACTCTAGGACCTCTGAAAGAATTCTGGTGCTTCCTCTAGTTGGACTATAGGACCAAAAGCAAGGACAGGGCATAAGTGTCTATTCAGAGCTGGTGCCACAACAATGCCCTCTTCTGGTGAGTTATGGAAGATATATCCACCATCCCAGTGTGCACTGACCCTCTGCCTTATGGGTCCCAACAGGCTAAGTAGAGTTACGGATCCTCATTGGACCATCACTTCACTTTTGAGATTATTTGGAGTCACTGTAAATGTCACAAGTAAATGGTTTGTTGTGTCCTCAGAAAGAACATGTTTCAGAAAAAGAGTCCCCAGTTTTTCCAACTGATGCAAAGGAAAAAGGATTCCACTGGACCCAGAAGGCCACACAGCAGCAATGATATCCTGTCTTGAGGAAATATGAAGTCACCCTGGACATAAAAATGTGGGCAGGAAAGAGGGTGAAGGTGGCATGGGCATCTTTCTATAAAGAGCTCGTGTTCTAGATTTGAAATGGATCAGACATTAACGCAAGGAACAGTGTGTTTCTGCAGCCTTGGCATACTAAGGTTCTATGTCATCTATATGAGACATCTATAGATGTCTACCTGTGGCGTGAAAGGTGGACACGCGATCCAAGTGGGTGTAGCAAACAGAGCAGCAGAGACAAAGCAACAGGACCACCCCATGTTGCAGACAAGAAGCCTATGGGTGCCTGAGGTTCTACTGTGTCCCCACCCCCCATCCCCAGCTTGTGAGATTCACTGAGCTTTCTGGCCCTGCCTTCAAGACAACCAGCAGAGGGCAGCATGAGGTCACTGCTGACTAGGTTACCCAAGAAAATAGGTTACCTGGGAAAGTAGGCTACACCCATAGCCATCTTCCAAAATGAGCTTTCTGCTTTCTGGAATTCAGCCTGGCCCCAAATTAATCTCTGGAGAGGAACTGCATCTCACATCTTGGGTGTGAACTCATTAATTCACTCATCTGTTCATTCATAACCTCATTTGTCAGCCATCAATTGAGCTTCCCACCCTTTTCTGGGCATTTGGTCTACTGAGGTTAGTGGTGTAGGTTGAGAAAACTCACAGAGGTAACAGCTGGTGCTGCATTATTGCAAGTGTGTGTTGTAGTTGCTTCACTGATAACAGCTTGTCTGTCTATAGTGAAATTTTTCTGAGGTGGACACAATTGTTATTCCAGCCTCACCAAAAAGAGTGCAAAATCACGGAGACTGTATGTGACAGGACAAGGGTCACACAGCCGCAGTATAGTGAAGTCAGAATTTGAACCCTGGCAGTCTGACAACAAAATCCTTACTTCTAATGACATTGTCATGCTGCTATAACTTAAATCAAATAAATGTCCAAACTGATATCAAATATCTATAGTTGTTGAGAGGAAAATAAAAATAAGAGGGAAAAGATCTTAAGGCTGGAGTTGGGGCCACCTAAGCTTCATTGGTCCAATGAATTGGATGAAGGCAACATTGGCAATATCTAAGATTTGCACAAGATTATACAAGTGTCTGATTCCATGGCTTCCTAGACACACTTAGGGCCATTTATAGGCAGTTTGCAGATGGCCGACATGCATACTCTTCACTCAGAACCTCTGGAACATTCCAAAGAGTAGACAGAGTGGGCCTGGACATAGATGGAAGAGGGCTGGGATGAATTTCTGGCATCAGAGTACAGCAAGGTTTGGGTCTACTGGTTGCCATGCACACACTCAATACACAAATACATGTGCAGAAAGGTATGTACAACAGCCTAAGCCCTGCTCACACAGTACCTACATAAGGACTCATGAACACAACACCTCCCATTTTCAGAAAACTCATCAGAGCTGTTCCAGTCTTAGCCCTGTTCTGTAAAGTCCCAGTGGTGGTAAGAGTTTGGGATGTGTCAGGATGGGTTTGGAGTGGCAGCTGGTTGTAGCCTGAGGGTGGGTTAGGAGAGACTGTCGATGGACAGATATCATAAACAAAACAGGAACCCTTTTACACTACGAAGGATCTCCAAAGAATGATGAAATTCTTCATTCTTGCATGTGTGAGAGATGCACACAGGTCACCAGAATGACTTATTTCTTGGGTCAGTGACTTCCAAATTTTGCCAAACATGTAGATCACTTGAGAACCTCACAAAGGCAAGAGACTTTGGAGATTTTTGACAGGGCCCAGCACAGGGCCAGAGTCCTCAGACAGTGTCATGATTCTAGTCAATTCAGACAGCCACTGCTGGGAAGAGCCACAAGCCCATGGGTTACCACGACAAGACAGGTGACATCGCATGCTGCCAGTGGCTAACCTAGTCAGTCCAAGGCTTGTGTTTACTTTGTAAATGCCTGAGTTCTATTTCTTTTAAATGCAGTAATTGTATCTGCCAGGATCAGACTGGTTCTGACTTAAGGACTGTCTCCCTACACAGGTCATTGCTTCCCAGTTGGTCTCTTGTAAGGTGTGCCTCTCATTTTCCCTGTAATCCATCAGCCACTCAGGGTTACCAGAGTAACATCACTTGATAAAGCCCATTTCCCGGCATCTCTAGCCTGGTCCTCAGATGGCAACTGATCCTCTCCTAGATAATGGTGTGTGTATGGAAAAACCCCAAATTCCTGGCAATTACCAAAGTCCAGATCGTTTACATAACAGTGAGCAAACAGCTTTGTAGGTCAGAGGCTCTGCAGGTCAAGCCTGTGGCCTGAGCCCTGGTGCTGTTGACCTCTGAGAGCCATGGAGAAAAGTAGTTTTCCTGGACACAGACAGGAAGGAGGTTATCTGCTGTGAGTAATAAGCCTTCAGCTGCTCTTTATGTCCTACCTCTGGCTGGAACACAGTCAGAAGTGCAGCAGCAGAGACGAGGGACTCCAGAGAAACACTGTCCTGCCGAGCAGGCCCTTCAGTTCTAGGATGCAGAGTGTGGGCAGGAACCTGGACTCTGAGTGTCTCCATCATTTAGTACCTGTTTCCCTTTGTCATGTGAAGTAGGCCACGTCCCCAATGGTAGTGTCTGCATTTGTGCAAAAGGAAACTGACAGACATAGTTTAAACCCAAAGTCCCCGTTTCCTGGGTAATATACACTTAAGAGTCTAACTTACCCTGCGTAGGTGCTTCTAAATCTTAGCAGTCCCCAGTGCCTGTAGTTAAGCATCTGGATTTGAAGTGAAACAGAGAATCATGCTGTGCTACATCACCTGTGCTTGTTGTCTGAAGAAATTTCAGTAATGTGACAGTTTAGGTGTCCTAGATACCAAAGCATATGATCCTGCTACCTGCACTCTGCTGGCCCTGGTGCCTTCTGTAGGTCCCACCCTACTTCCCATGGCTTCTGGGAAAGTTCTGTGGAAGGAGCACATCCTGACATGGAGTGCTAAGCAGCCAACTTAGCCATCCATTTGTGAATGTTTGCCGCATCCATTGAACAAACATCCATCACCCACCAAGCACTTAATGATGGAGTAAAGTAGAAATGGACATGAACAAAGCCTTCTCGCTAAGTGAGACAGACCCTTGGCTCACTCCTGAAATGTTTCCTGATCTCATTTGTGAATGGCAAGCAGTGAGCCAGCACTCACCTTCTTCTGGCTCGCACCACTTTGCTGCTGAATCTCAGCTCCACCTACCCTCAGACAGCTGGAAGGCAAAAGCCCGTGGCCATGCTGAATAGATGGAAACTTCAGTGGCTGGCTGCTTAGGTGGTATCATTTGCCCCTTAAGGCAAGTAGATACCTTTAGGGTTTTTCCACTCTGTGTACCGATAATGGGCCTACTGATCTATAATGAGAAGGGGTAGTGAAGGAAAGGCATGCTGGGCAGTGGAAACTGACATTGATGAGATGGACACCCCTTGAATGGCCACACTTCTTCCATGTTGCTGGCACACAATAGCAAACTGATCCCATACACTGATGTAGGGAGACGGGGCTGCTGTTCACTCTCTGGATGCACAGTGAATAAAGAGAGGACACAGCTACTTGGCAAGGTGTTCTTAGGCCTGACAGTGATTACTCACACAGGCTGTTTTTATGTGTTGTGGTCAGGAAGACAAAGGGCACCTGGAGCTCACAGAGAGGACCTAGCTAGCCTTTACCTGGGGTATGGGGAGTATCTAAAAGTGATAGTTCTCTTCCACTCTCCACCAAATATATCTCCCTGAGAAGAAACACACCAGAGGCAAGGACACGTTGTAGACTGAGGGTGGACTCAAACAGGCAAGCTTTGCACCACTTAGTGACAATTCATGGAGAAAAGGAATTGGACATTTTCATGGCTGAGATCAGTGATCACTGTGGCACAGATATGATCCGTCTTTGGTCCTTCAGCAGGGGGGATTTACTGTAGCCTTCCAGAGTTCACTCTGACTCAGCACGCTGCCCCAAGAAAAACAGATGTGACCTCGGCTCTGTGCGAGTCTGGACCCTGGGGCCTCATGTTCAGCATCTCCTTATGTCCTCATGCCACAACAAAATACATCTACTCCCCTCAAAAAGATCAGTTAATACTAAGTTTGGAAACCAGTACTGAATTTTCTTTGGAAGCAACTAAGAGTTCAGAGAGGAGCCAAAGAGAAAATGGAGGCACTAGCTTCCTCAGGCTGGGAACTCACAGACAGCGATGAAGGAGGCTTGGCAGGATATGTCATTCCAGATCCCACCCTCTACCATGACGACACAGTCCTCCCCTGAGCCATAGTTATTGGGCTCGTTCTTTTTCCAGTTGCTGTAGGCAATATTCCCCCCTGTCACATACATGAATTGGCCTTCAGTCACTTCATCTGTGATGCCTAAGAAGGCATTGCCTTTGGCCACTTCTTGGATGGCCTGGTTCTCCTCTGCATTCCTGGGAATAGCCACAGTGCCTCGGAGCTGGGTGCACAGAGCCTTCACTTTGGCAAAGGTCATAGTTTCACGGTTGGTCAAGAAGAGCTTCTTCCCAGACTTTTTGCCCATTGAGAAAGCATGCACTGAAATCAGAATAGATGAGGCTTGCTCAGTGTGGAGCCCAGTCAGGACCTCTGAGAATTCAGGGCTCTACAAAGAAGTCTCAGGTCCAATGACACTAGGCCAGAACCTATGACCAGGAACACCTACAAAGTCAGGGAAGGGGTCCACAGCCTCCTGAAAACAACATGACCCTCCTGGGACAGCCCACCATTGACACCAATGTCAGCCAAAGCCAGACAGCAGCACAGGCGAACACAGGGTGGCATCCCACTGGGGAACCAGAATAAGGGAAAGGCACCGATAGGTAGGAACAGTGGGTGGGAGCAAGCCACAAGGATGCAGGAGAAAGCCCTTTTACTCGCCCTTTCTTGATGCTGTCTGCAAGCTGTATGATATGGAGTGAGTTATTATACTTCCTGAAGTACAATATCTATTTAAAAATGTGTTTCCCTCTCTCCCCTCCCCCCACCGTGTGTGTGTGTGTGTGTGTGTGTGTGTGTGTGTGTGTGTGTGTGCCATGTTTCCACGTGAAGGTCAGAGGACAACCTTTGGGAATTGATTCTCTTCCCCCACTCTAGGTTCTGGGAACTGAATTCAGATCCTCAGGCTTGTGTGGCATGTGTCTTTACCCACTGAGCAACCTCCCCAGTCCCAAGACAAGTATACTATCACAACCAGAGTTGGTGAGGAAATTGAATGAAATATCACAGGCCAGTGTGGTGCCTGCACAGACCTGTGGTAAAGTAAGTGTTCAGAGGTGTTACCTGTCTGTCACCCAACCCCCCCCACCTCCCAACCAACTTGAGATCTCTCTGTAGGAAAACGTGAGTGTGAGAACACCCTGGAGGCTCAAGAAAAACTTACACTTCTTGGTATGCTCCAGTTCAGATTTTAGGATCCTTATCTCTGCCTCCAAATTCGCCAACTTTGCCTCAACATCTGCAAGAGCATCAGGAAAAGGGTACTTAGTGGCAAGACTTTAACCTGGAGACTCAGACACCGCTGAGAGTAAGCTGGGGGAGATAAAAAGCTCATAGCCTGGAAAGGAAATTCAGTAGGCAATGTGATTGCCATGAAAATACAAGGACCTGTTTGATTCCCAGAACCTACATAAAAGTTAGGCATGTAATCCCAGTGCAGGATGGACATAGACAGTACAGACAGGTGAATCTCTGGGGCTTGCTGTCCAGTTAGCCTAACCTACTCGGTAGGCTCCAGGACTGTGAGAAGACATTATATCAAAAGAGAAAAAAAAGGATGGCTTTTATCTTAAGAATAATACTTGAGTCTGACCTCTGGATTCCACACACAGGCACACATATGTATACTCCTCACAGGTGTACTTGACCACACATGAATACATATGTACATGAATGTTTTTATATGCACAAATGGTAAGGCTCACTAAAAAGTAAGCTTATTCCAGAAAAATATGAAACCTAAAGAAGCAAATGGGAAAAAAATAGTATTGCTGCTTTCCCAGGTGCAAGATACTTACCCTAATAACATGTTAATGTAGCTCTCCTCCTTTTTTTTAATGGATTGCTTAATGTTGTAGTGTTATGGTAATTTCTAAAAAATTCTCATTAGTCTGTGATTTTTCTTTGTGACTCTTTCATTTCTCATTACTTGCAAATACTCCATCATTTACACATACATACATGTTCATGTGTAGATGCACATGTATGTGTTGGTATGTATGTATATATATGTAGAGGGCAGAGATCAACATAGGGTGTCGTTCTTTGGGAGCCATCATTTTTGGAGACAAGTGCTCCAGTTGGTCTGGAGTTCTCAGAGTAGGCTAGACTAGCTGGCTAGCAAGCCCCAGAGATGTGCCTATCTCTGCCTCCCCATGGCTAGGATTGCAAACCTGTGCCATGATGAGTGAGTTTTTGTCGTCGCTTTGTTTTGTTTTTAATGTGTGTCCTGGAGGATGAATTTAGGTTCTCATGCTTGTGCATCAAGCATTTTACCAACTGTGACACCTCCCAAACCTCCAGGTAAACTCTTTAATGTGTTGAATTTTTTGACGGACTGGTGGACGAATATGAACAGGAGAGCTGCCCGTTTTCCTATTGTCCTTACCAAAGTTGCTCTGCTGCACTCTGAAGCAGCTGCTGTGGCATTGCTCATTCTGACCACTTTCATGCAATTCATCTGACAGCAGACATGGAGGAGGTGCACATTTCCTCCCACATAGCCTAGAGAACACACTGGACTTCTTCAGAGGAAAAGCTAACCCCATGTCCTAGGGAGGACTGATGGAGAAATGGCCCTGGAGAGTACTTGGTACCAATGAGACCCAAGGGACACTAAGTCTGGAAGCAGCATTGAGCCGGTGAGGCACCAGGACCAGGGGCAGCTCCCACATGGCCTTCTGTTCCTACCACCCCCATCAAATCTAGTCATGCTGGAGTATTCTCCTACCTCCACTGTGTCCACGATCCCCCTTTTGGCCTTTTGCTCCAGGAAGTCCAGGAAATCCTACATTTCCTGGAGGCCCCACTTTTCCTGGAGGGCCTTGTGCACCCCTGAGCCCTTGACCTGTTGGGAGATAGAGACAGCAAGACCTGGTGACTGTTACTCATTCTCTTCCCCCAGATGTTCAAAGTTTGATTCATATCAACGCCAGGAAAGAGCCAGAGAGGCAGTGATTGGTGACTCAGAGTAGACATATCTTTCTGCATCCTAGGTCTGGATGTTTGTCCTGAGGGGCACCTCCTTGCAGACCCTTGTATGAAAGGGTGAGACTCAAGAGAGCTATTAGGCACCATTGACTGGGAGTTAGCAATACTATAGACCATTCTGAAGGAAAGAATCCCCGCCACAGTGAAAGCCAAGTCTCCCCAGGCCCCTGAGCTCCATCACTGGGAACACAGAACAGTCCTCCACTGAAGGTAAAGGTGCAGAAAACCAGAGTACAATGCTTCATACCTGGTTCTCCCTTCTCCCCTTTAGGTCCATCTCTGCCACAGGCTATTACAGGGCACGTCTTCAGGGCATCCTCACAGGTTTGTGACTTTGATGAGGATATGCCCACCACACACAGGACAAGGACAGGCAGCGATGGAAGCAGGAGCATGGTCCCTACCTCAGAGGGGAGAAAGTCAATGAGATGAGTTGTACATTTAGTTCATGGTGCTTGTTCTTACTTACAGCACCTGCACCCTGAGCTCAGGACAGCAGATGTGAGGGATCTCATACCCTCTGGCTCTGACCTACCGAAGGTAGATCACACCTAAGGCTACTGAAGCAAAAAATAAAGGTCAGGTCAGGGTTAAAACTAAGAAAGATGCAAGAGAAAGGGGGCTTGTTCTCCCAAGAGGCCCAGATTCCCTGTGGTGAGGTGAGGCACACTTTACCCTGAGGCTCTATAGACTGAAAATTATAAGCCAGCCATGCTCACAGTGGGCTAGCAGGAATGCAGAATACCCAGTACCCAAGAGACCCAGGATCTCTGTTTATTGTCTCCCTTTCTATTTCACAGGGGTCCTAGCCCCCACATTTTTCCTTCCCCATGGATCCTCAAACTCGACTGTAGAAAGTATACCAAAGGGCCCACAGTGTTTACTTTTCAACCAGGTATGGTTCATATTTCAATAAAATGCCGATTTTACATGCTTAGGCCTCACCCACTCTCAAACTTGTCCCACTCTCAAAATTTTCCCACCATCTTGTCGGCATCATGTGCAAATCTCTGTTTTGTGACAGGTGTTTGCTGGAGACAGGCCACACTCAAATTGGGGCCTTCTTGGGCCATGGATCATTTGCATAGGAAATGCCTCTTGGCTTGAAATCCCAACTAGAACAATTTTTGTGCTAGGGAGATCTCAGGCTCCTACAATGCCTACTCACGCATACATGCCTTGGGAGGGGGGCCCCCACATGCTGCTTCTCCCAGCAGAACTCGCTGTGCTGTCCAGGTCCTGTCCTGAGCCACCAGCCTCTCAGGGCTGTCCCTCTGCTTTGTCCCAGCTTCTAATCTCAGTGTCCTTGGCCCTGGCTGAACAACTGTTGAGCCTGCTTAGCCTGCTCTATCGCTTCCCTTAGCTTTTGCTTCCTCCAGCAAACACCAAGAGGTGATCAGCTTGAAGACATCTCCCGTGATCACACCCTTCTTTATCTTTCCCCTTTCGGGATTTTGAACTTCTTCTTAAAGTCCTCTAATCACAATGGAGGCTATCCATGGTCACACATGGATTGTACATGTGGTGGCACCACACCTCTTTTCACTTCTATTTTTCCCTTAGGAAATAACTGTCCTTTCGTTTTCATATGGTCAGGTAGATAGCCCAGATCAGAGAGAGACATACAGGCCTAAATGGGCCTGTTGACCCCACTGACCTTTGCCTGAACCTTACCAGCTTCAAACCAAGAGGCCAGACTCCAAACCCAGGGTCCCACCACTTTCATCCTGAAATGACTTACTAGTGTTTTCTTTGGAGCCAAGGGGTGGTGGAAAGGAAACTGTCCGTCCAGTCCAGCTTCTGGCAACTGCCTCTTCAACGCCAGGTCTATTATCCTGGTGACCAGGGACTAAGCTGGACTAGCGTTCAACCCCAGATTAATAAGCAACTATCCTTGGAGATGTTGCAACTCGACAGCTGTCCAAATCTGGTGGTATCCCTGCTCAGTGCTGTACACTGTCTTAATACTCTAAATTCTTCCCACCAGATCTCCATCTAGATAGCTTAGACACTCTGATTCTCTAGAACCATGGGCTCTTGGCATGGCTCCATCAAGGTATTCTTTCCACAAGAAACACTCATAAATGTTATGCTAGAGAAACATTCTCAATCAGGTGCGCACAGGAATGGATGCATGTGCACAGGTGCACATAACTCTCGTCAGTTGCTGTGACAAGTTTACCCCTCCATTTGCATTTCATGTATTGTAGGACTAGATGAGGTCCTGAGTCACCTCCCTCCTCCCTCTTCATTCAGAACACGTATTAAATGTCTCCTTCAGGCATGTTCCAGACCTAGGCACAAGAGGAAAGGAATATGGTTTTTAAAGATCTTTTTTTAATTTTTTTGTGTATGGATACTTTGCCTGTATGTATATGCACCTGTGCATGACTGGCCAGGGGAGGCCAGAAGAGGGCGCCAGATAACTTGAAACTGACGTCACAGACAATTGTGACCTGCTAGAAACTGTGGGCACTAGAAACCAAACCTAAGTCCTCTGTGGGAGCAGCAAATGAGCCATGTCTCCAGCCATGTGAGAAAAAAAAATATATGTAGATAACAAATTCAAAGCTGAGTATGACCAATGGTAAAACTGTCCACTCTGTGGAGGCATTCTTCTGTCCTTAAGTGTTGATTGTCATTTAGATTTCAGTTGAGATAGCTCAGGATAAGGGACTTTCCTAACCACTCAATTTTGAGTAGCTGTTATGTTGATAAATTTTAATTCTCTGATTAAATTGTATGCCTATTATTTTCCCATATGTGAAATTGTTTCTTTGGTTGCTTATTTATTAACTACCCCAAATCTTTTGTTGTTGTTGTTGTTGATGTTTGTTTGTTTGTTTTGAGACAAGGTCTCTATATAGTCCAGGCTGTACTAGAACTCGCTATATAAACCAGCCTGGCCTTGAGCTCTCTGAAATCCTCTTGTTTCTACCTACCCCACACCTTTTAAATGATCATAAATGAATAGGAATTTTGTTTCTTGATACTATGTGCCTGAGATGGAAGGACAAACCTCTCTCTTGGGCACTGGGGCAAAAGGTAAACATTATAGCATTATAAATACTATCAATAAGTACCACCTTTAATGTTTACTTTTATTTTAAATAAGATAAGACACTGGGGAGTAGGATGACTTTATTCCCTAATTGGCAACCCTCCTGTGGTTGTTCCCTAAGCCAAGGACTATAAGATAAATGCCCATAAGAACTTCCATGATACCAACATCAGCTTCTTTGAACAGTATACTTAAGGAAGTGACATTGTAAGCACAGATGATTGCTGCTGAGACACAGCCCTGGCTCTTAAGGCATGGTCTTAGCTATGACTGCTTCAAATAGCTTACAGTGCCCCTTTTTGCTGTAAGTCTAGGTGATACCCTAAAATCGTTTCTGCTCAGGCTAAATGGGGGCCACTTTCCATGGTGATTCAGTAAAAGGTCTATGAGAGTGTAAATAAACTCCTTCATTTATGTTAAGGACTCCTGTGATTGGAATAAATGTATCCCTTTATCTGATGAGGGGTTGTGCTGATCGCTGCAAACCACACACTTCATCTGTGTCTTTACCATTTTGACTATTTAAGCCGGATTTGTGAGCCAACTGGAAAGCACTCTCCTTCACTGCCTCCCCTACTGTTTCCATAAGGGCCTTACTCCAGTGTTCTTTTCTTGCTGCTTTTCATTTTTATCATCCATCACTACAGTGTGCTGGGCTGGTAGCACGAAGGCAGAAGGTGAGGACCGGGATGGAAGCAGCAACAGCTGCCACATGGGCGGCAAAGTTGTGGTAGCAGCAATAGGGATGGAGACACCCGAAGCAACCCAGAGAGGACCTTGGCCAGAGATGACTCAGAGCAGAGACAATGGAGACAACTAGGTCTGTGAAGAGCTGAAGATGAGCCACTGCAGGCCCTGATCATTGGGAGGGTTTCAGTGAACTACTAACCCTTCGTGGCCAAGGGTCTCAGACACTGTAGATCTGAGACTTGTAATAGTAACTGCTGTCAAGGGTTCAGGGTCCTGGCACACTGGGCCCGTATGTTGCTATGGCGCCTCCATGACCACTGTTATATGAAAAGGTTCCAGCTACAACTACTTGCTGCTACATGAAATAGACACTCAATGCCGCTAGAAGCCAAGAACTGACAACAGCTGGTGAGTGCTAGTGTCTCTGATGGTTAAAGCCCAGAGCCATAAGCCTCCGATCTAAGTGCTCAGAGCCATAAGCCTCTGATCTAAGTGCTCAGAGCCATAAGCCTCCGATCTAAGTGCTCAGAGCCATAAGCCTCTTGCTTCTAGAGTCTATAGTAATAGGCTTCTACCCTTCAGGGTTTGGAGTCTTAAGGCTCTGGTCTGCCCGTCTATATGCGAGTTCTTGGATGTTAAGGACTGAGGATTGTCCACACTGAAAGGGCTTTTCCCTGTCTGCCCACAGTTCCCACCCAGGTGGGACCCCAGTCGGCTTTTGGGTAGCCTGCCCACCTGATGGAGCGCCCCCACACTGTCAATGCTCAAGAAAGATGTGTGAAACAGATGAGCCCTCAGCAGCATGTTCTTGGAGCAGCCCTTGTGAAGTCACTGGCCCACTTCACCAGTGCTGATACTTTCCCTGGGCAGGAGCTACATACAGTTCACTTGTCCCTAGAGGATAAATCCAGCCTGGGAACACAACAAGGACTCAGTGAGAGAGTGAGGAAAGCAGCTTGACAGCTAACAGACCAGGAGGAGGCTCCTTGAGCTCAGATTTCCAGAGAAACCAGGACTCACACTCGGAGGCTGATCAAGTGGCCTGAGCCCCTGACATAACCTTTCATGCCTGACTTCCTCCAAGCTCACATCCACTCATTGACGCCCTTTATCTTACCAAACAACCTGAGAGGTTTGCTTTCCCCAGAACAGAGTGGGCCTAGATCACTTCCCATTACTCTATGGTTGGTATTTTGACTACTCATGGGCCATCAGTCCATGTTTACTCAAGACACTATGTCCCCTCGCTATTCCTGTTAGAAGAAGCTTGGCAGCTACCTAGAAGGGCCGTGTTTGTTAAGAACACGCCTCCTAGGGCTGTGTTTTTTACTGTTGGTACAACCTCTGGGCTGAGAACACAACTGGCATTTACTGAATACAGCAAATAGGTAGATCACTCCCAAAAGTGGGAGTTCAAAACTTACAGGTTTACATAAAACCCCACTCTAAATACACTATAGACTCAGGAAAAGGTGGTTGAAGTGGTGAGAAAAGAGTGTTGTAAGCAAAGAAGCAATAATAAGATCTTGATCCGGCCTGTGTAATGGCACATGCTGGTGACCATTGTACTTGAGACTGAGATAGGAGGACATCTGGGCTATATAGTTAGTATCCAGAGAGGTTTGATTGCATATTAAGACCCTATGCCCAAAAAAGGAAAGAAAAAATAAAAGATGATTGTACTAATGACTAAAAGAAGAAAAAAATCAGAAATAATTAATATAAATTAAAATACAAATAGTTGACAGACATGGCAATGGTAGTTTGAATTCTTGTTTCTATATGTCTGCTTCTTTCTTATTATAGAATTTCATGTCCATGTTCTTTGCTAAAGTACACTACAGCGGGGTCCACTTGAGCCCCAGGAGTAAACATTAAGCCCTTTTGATGTTTGACTTGGCTTTGTGACTGAGCAAGTTGGAAGGAAGCAGCATCATCAAGGGTGCTCACAGGTTAAATGTGACCTCTTGTGTTTCTTTCCCAGCCTTAGAAGGAATATGTTGCTGGTAGCCATTACTAGCAGGGTAATTGCATGAACAGAATAAATACAAATTCACCTAGACCAGCCTACGCAGTTGAATCCAGACAAGTTCAAACAATATTTTCAAAGCTCAGAACACTCTTTAAAAAAAGGTATAAGAAAGAAAAACAAGTGCTGCTGTGAGCATCTGAAATGCTGACATCTTGTATCAACTAATTGACACATTACCATCGACTATAGAAACAGTATAATATACAAATCAAGAAGGAAATGGAATATTGTGTTGACATAGATACTATTGACAATATACATTTTTGTTATGTTCAGTGGACTTTACAGCAATCTCAAAATCATGTAAAATTGATATTAGAGGTCAATTTAAAGTGATTTAAGTTAGCCTAACGAATGTTAATTGACTGATACGTTATTAATCACAAAGTATTGAAATAGACATAAAAAGTCACTAACTTACCTATAAAGAAGTAAAGTTTTAAGATGAGTTTTATCAAATCTTTAGAGATCATGTTCTCTCGTGTAAATAACTGGAATTAATTTTTTAAAAAACTGACTATAGATCACATCTGTCCAAAGCCCAGGTAGGCCATCCACCCACAGACCTTCCCCCATTCTCTCGGTTCCCTTGGATAGACATCCCATGCCCAATGATATTCTGTCTTACTCATGGATTGGTGCCCATCCCAATCATCACCCAAAAGGCTTCCTCTGCCAGCTGATAGAAGCAGATGTGGGAACCACACCCAAACATTAGGTGGACCTCAGGGAACCCTGCAGAAGAGAGGAGGGTTAAGGATTGCAGGAACCAGAGGGGTCAAGGAATCCACAAGAACATAGCCCACAGAGCCAACTAAACAGGGCAATTGCAGAGCCTGCATAGGTCTGCACTAGGTCCTCTACACATGCCTTATGGTTGTTTAGCTTGGGTTTTTGTGGGACCCCCTAACAGTGGGACTTGGTGGGTCTCTCTGATTCTTTTGCCTGCTCGGGGGTGCTTTGTCCAGCCTTGATATATGGGTTTGTGCCTAGTCTTAGTGAAACTTGTTATGTCATGATATCCCTGGGAGATCTGCTGTCTTCTAAAGAGAAAGAGAGAAGCAGCAATCTGGGCAAGAGAAAAATTGGAGGTGGGACTAGAAGGAGTGGAGGAAGGAGAAGATGTGGTCAGGATGTATTGTATGAGAGAATAAATAAAAAATAAAATATAAATATGCACTCATATTATTAGCTAACTGTTGTTAATCCAAATTCAAAAGGACATAAGAAAAGAAATATCATTTATTTATTTTGATAATTTTACTAATTCTTCAAGAATTTCAAACAGTGAATTTTGACTGTATTTACTCCTACTCTTCTTCCTGGCTCTTCCCTGTTCCACCCCCTACATCTTTATGTCTTCAACTTCCTGATCTTTTTTATTTATAAATAATCCATCCATCAAGTCTGATTATGTTGCCCGTGTATTCCTGAGTATGGGGCTATCCACTGGAGTGTAGTCTCCTACCAAGAGCCACACTCTTGAAGAAAATGATAGTTTTCCCCAGAAGCAATTGCCAATAGTTCCCCGGTTAGGGATGGGGGTCTCGTGACCCTCTCTCAACCCGTGCTAGAATGTTGACTGGCTTGACCTTCTGCAGATCTTATGCAGGCAACCACAGCTACTGTGAGTTGAGTTTTGCAGTCAATATGTCCAGAAAACACTATTTCACTCTGGCCTCTGGCTCTCAAAATCATTACAGCCCTTCTTCTATGCTAATTCCTGAGCCTTGGGGAGAGAGAGTCATATAGATGTCCTGTTTATGGCTGCTAACACTTAGTGTATCAGCACCTTGACCAGTTGTGTGTTTCTGTGTTAACCACCATCTACCATGCAAAGAAATTTCTCTGATGTGGTCTGACATCTGCACTGATAGAGATATGAATCTAGAGAGAAGTTTGATACTATGTCCATTTAGCATAATAGTAGTAGTAGGTTTACCTTTGGGGCCTAGAAGTTCCCCAACCTTGGGTTCTTGGCCAGATTTACAGTTCCAGGTATGAGTTTTCTCCATGGAGCAGGCCTTAAATGCAATCAGAAAGTTACTGGTTGTCCCTATAACATTTGTGCTGTTATTGTACCTGTTACCTGTGAGTATATATTTCTACTCCAGCCATTATTATAGTTCACAGGGTTTGCTTCTGGTTAAGATTGTTGATGACTCCTCCCATTCCCAGCACCCTACAGAGGACCTTCTGGCACTATGAAAGCTAGCCATCACTGGGAATGCTTTCCGGTCAATGCCAATTTGACTTATCCATGTCCTGTGGTCAGTGTATGTGATGTCTTTAGCCACAGAGTCTTACAATCAAGTTCTTGGACAGCCAAGAGCAGTGATAATGAACTGTACCAATTTAGGAGATTCTGGGACCTCTCTGACCAGCAACTTGAGGGGAAGTATCCTGCACCTAACACTGGGCTTTTTACCTGGAAATCAATGACTTCTGGATGAGCATAACCTCCTGTGTAGGATGCATCTAATTAGACTCTTTTCTGTAGATACCTATATGAAGATTATAAAACACTAAGTTTTCATATGATTGTTTCAAAATCCTTAGTGTTAGTAATCCCTCCTCACTCCCTCTCCTCCAGGTACTGACCGAGCAGCTTACTCCCTGCAAGTAAAAAGAGAACTCTTAAAAAGAGAGAGGGGGGAAAGACAGAGAGAAGGAGAAAGGGAGAGAGTAGAAATACACATACAAAACCACATAATTGAAAAATACTTACTAAAATAAGTTCTCTCGAATCTTTACTTCCTGCTTCCACTACTCTACAAATTGGCCACAGGAGAACTGGTAAATAATTCTGACTTCTTTGTACCTCAATATTCTAAGTTATAACTGAAAGGAATAATAACACCTACATTAGTCCCTGGCACAGAGTAAAAGTCATAAGAATATTAACTATCAGGCCAAGAATGATATAGTGCAGAAAATTCAAAGATGTCTCAAAACTAAATATATATACATATATATATATATATCATTAAGTTTTGTTAAAAGTCTCAATCAAATGTGTACAAGCTTAAAGCCTGAAACTTTCTCTGTTCTCAATGCTAGTACAAGATCTCAAATTCTTCACATTCTCTCATCGAAGACCCCTGTAATGCCAGTCTCCTGGGATCATACCCTATATGAATTTTTCCCTAGTTTTGTTATTAAGATTTCTTTTTTATTTAAAAATGTATTTTTCATTTACATATCAACCCTAGTTCCCCCTCCCTCCATTTCTCCAGCCCCTTCACCTCCCCCACTTCCCACCCTCCATCCACTGCTCAGAGGGGGCAAGGCCTTCCTTGGGAGTCAACAAAGTCTGACTTACCAAGTTGAAGCAGGACCAAACTCCTCACCCCTGTATCAAGGCTGAGAAAGGTATCCCACCATAGGGAATGATCTCCAAAAAGCCAGTTCATGTATCTGGCATAGGTCCTGGGGCCACTGACAGCCCCCACCTCCAAGGAGATCAAGCCACATAACTGTCACCCACATGCAGGTTCCTGGCTGTGAATCCATAATCTGTGAAATCCCACTAGCTCAGGTCATCTGTCTCTGTGGGTTTCTCCAACATGGTATTGACCCCCTCCCCTTGAGCATATGATCCCTCCTCCCTCTCTTCAACCAAACTCCAGGAGCTCAGCCCAGTGCTTGGCTATGGGTCACTGCATCTACTTCCATCAGTTACTAGATGTAGTTTCTATGATGACAAATAGGGTAGTCACTAATGAGATTAAAGAAGAAGACCCATCAGAGCCTCCTGAGGCCAAGGGACGGATTACTGAGGAACACATTCCAGCGACCAGGCTATCCACAGTTTGCTAGCATCCTAGTCCTGTCTCCACCCATGGGAGGAGATGAGCTTGGACCTGTTTCCGGCATGCATTCCCTTTCCCTGCTCATAGCCTCCTGAGGCCTGGGGACTGTGCACAAGGGAACTTGTCCCAGGCTACCAGGTTATCCACAATCTTACTGTGTCCTAGTCTGCCTCCACCCGCAGGTGGAAGTATGGGCGTGGTTCCTGCCCACCTTCCAGCGCCCTGCTGAACTTCCTGAGGCCTGGGGACAACTCACTGGGGAACCCATCCGGGTGGACCAGTTCATCCAGAGACTGCTAGCATTGTAGTCCCGCCTCCACCCACGGGAAGAGGACACCCATCATAGTATTGGACCTCCTTACACCCACCAGAAGGGAACCCTGGACCCAAAACCACCAGGAAGGGAACATACTCCACCTGCACCCACTGGAAGAAGGGATGGGAAGAAGACAATATAAAAACACATTCAACAACAGAAAAGCCAATATGATACCACCAGATTCTAGGGACTCTTAACCAGCAAGACTGAACATCCCAACACAGATGAAATAAAAAGAATTACCTTAAAAACAACTTTATGAAAATGATAGAGGACCTCAAAGAGGATATGAGAAAATCCCTTAAAGAAATGAGGAAAAAATACAAGAAATCAACAAATTTCTAAAGAAAACCAAGAAAAAACAATCAAGCAGATTAAAAAAAAAAACAATTCAAACAGTTCAAGACCTGAAATCTGAAATAGAGACAATAAAGAAATCACAAACTGAGGGGATACTGGAAATAGAAAAGCTGGGTAAATGATCAGGAATTACAGATGTAAGCATAACCAACAGAATACAAGAGATGGAAAACAGAATCACAG